ACACTTTACAGCAGCAACAACACACCCATGTGTGGAGTCCTGGTGTGACACTATGGGATAAAGCACTGGACTGAGAAGTTGGTTTGAACCTCAAGGTGAGCAGTTCAATCTCACCCACCACTCCTTGGAAACTCTAAACAGGGTTGCTTTGAGTCAGAACCAACTTGATGACACTTAACAACAACAACAACAGCAACAATAATATACCCATTTGTAGTTTAAACCATAAGTAGCAGTATTTTTTAATAAAACTACTGTGAACATCTTTTATAAATTCATGAAGGCTGATACATACATACATGAATCAGGCATCTTACAGAGGTATAATGCTTGGTATTGACTTTATTTGGCAAACATTTCAGTGACATACATTTAATGTATTAAATCTTTTTATCAGTGCTAAAGTTTTCCATATTTGCAGATGAGGAAAATGAAGTCATGGAGAAATTAATTACTTGTCTAAACTCCCTCAGGTGAATTTGAACCCATTTGACTGAGATGTCAATATTATTAATCACCCTTCTGGGCTGCCTCTGGAGCGAAATGATTAACAGCATGCATGAACAATTACTTTCTTCAAATTCAATATCTGATACTAGTAAAAATTGTTATTAATTTATTTGATAATATTTATTGAAAATCTAGTACATGCCATCGAATCAGTTCTGACTCATTGCAACCCTGTGTAGGGTTTCAAGGAGGTGCTGGTGGGATTAAACCGCTGCCCTTGTGGATCTGAATGTAGTCCTGTCCTATGTACTTAAACTGTTTGTTGTTCTTCTTGTTAATTAAGCGTTGTTAAAGCCATTCCAATTCATAGTGACCCTGTAGAATTTCCAAGGAGCAGTTGGTGGGTTTGAACCACTGAACTTGTAGTTAGCAGTCTAGCATTTATTGTACAGTGCCACACCAAGAAATAAACTGTACAGTAAGCAAAATAACCAGTTACTGAGTTTATCAGATTGCATTCTATTAAGAATACTGTCAATATCTGTATTTTAAAGCTCTCTTGTTTTAAGCTTCTTAAGTGCTGGATTTTTTTTTTTTCTTTTCCCCTGTGTGTTACTGACTCCCAGCTTAGTTTATGGTAGCTACTAAAGAATTCATGAGTGAAAGAAAGAAAGAAAAAGGTGAATTAATGAATGCAGTGTTTCCTTATTTTATTTGAAATTATTTCCTGAAAAATAAAATAAATTCAAGTACAGGACATGTAATTCTTTAGAAATTTTTAGGCTGCTCATTTTAAATGAAGAAAAAGTGTTATTTGGAAATTGGGAAATAAAACCAGTAAATGAAGTATAACTTTTTAGCATTTATATGTAAAGTATTTTATATGATGGACAGTGGGTTAGTAAACATCTTTATATTCATGTATAAATAAGCTTGTTGTTAGTGCTGTCGATTTCATTGTGACTCATAACGACCTTGTATAGGGTTTCCAAGGAGTGGCTGGGGTTTGACCTGCCAAGCTTGTGGTCAGCAGTCCAGTGCTTATCCTATAGTGCCACACCAGGGGTCCCTGTTTTTTAACTGAGTCATGATCACAACTATTGCCAAGCCAAACCCACTGCCATTAGATCAGTTTTGACATTATGTCACTCTAGGACCAAGTAGAAGTATCCCGTATTGTTTATAGAAGCAGACTACCACATTTTTCTCACTAGAAGTGGCTATTGGTTTCCAATGCTGACCTTTTGGTTAGTAACTAAGTGCTTTAGCCATTGTGCCACCAGAATTCCTTGATCACAGTTATGTTATTGTTGTATGTGTTGTTGGTTCCAACTCATAGAGACCCTGTAGGGTTTCCAAGAGTGGCTAGTGGGTTTGAACTGCCAACCTGCGGTTACCAGTCCAGCGCTCATCCTACAATACCATATCAGTTTATAAGTTAAAAAAATACAAGTTTACCAACTTAAATATGGGTGTAGAAAGACTCTTTGGCATGTATCTTTTCAAATAACTTGTACATTTGGAACTCCAGCTAAAATGTGTTACAGTAATTTCATTTATTAAAAATTATATAATAAGTAATTTTTATTTCATTGGTTTATTCTCAGTATATAATGCTTAGATATGTAGCCCTTGACCTAATAGGAATCAAAACAGAGGTGGTTCTGCTTTAAGAATTTGTAATAATCCCTTCACTTTAGCACATGAATGTGTTCAATATTGGCGAAAGAACACGTTGCTACCAAAACTGAAATAAGATCCTTGAAACAGAAAGGATGTTGCCATGGAAAAATGAAGTAACACTCAGTGCAGCTGTGATGCATTAATGAATAGGATATTTTTTTTAAAAGATCATTTGTGTTTGGTGTGGCTCAGAGGGTCCCAACCAGATGGTTTCCATGAACATGATCTGACCCCCGGATTGAGGACTTCTTACTGGCAGATTACTTCATTTTCTTTCCCTTGGATTGTCAGATCCTTACATTAATGCAGAATTTACTGCTGCAGATTTATATTCAGTTATATAAATCACTCAACATTTTACATTAAAACCACAATTTTAGACATACAGTTTAACAGTTATTTTTAAAGTATAAAAAGATTTATGTCATTGCTTTAATATATACTAGCTGTAACAGTATAATAATTTTGAGCAATTTGGATTATATATAATACACAAACATATATAATATACACACATACATATATATATATATATAATACACACACACACACACACACACACATATATATATATATATAATACATACACATATACATATGCATTTTGATTCTTATTAATAAAGGAATCCTTGTAACTTATTTCACATTTTAAAAGCCTGTTTTTTAAAAATTGTTATGTATATTCAGCTAATATTTGATTATTCTGTATGCACTGCTTTGTTGTTTATAAGTGCCCTTGAATTGATTTCTACTTACATGACCCTGTTTGTATCGGGTTTTGGAGGAGCCGCTAGTGGGTTTGACTGCTGACCTTACAGTTAGCAGTGCTTATCCTACAGCTCCACACCAGGACTTACTGAAGAAAGGTACTTACACAAGATGTTGGTACTTCTGATGTAATTTAAAGTTGTTTCTCAGACTTTCTTTGTACATATTTGTCTGAGTTTGGCATCATAATCAACCAATTGCATCATATTATTAAAATTTTTCAACATAACATCAGTAACTTCATTTAGTGTTAATTATTGAATATTAATACTTTTGTACTTACAGCCAAAATTAAGAGGAAAGTATGATCTTAATCTGCTATTCTAACTGTAATTATGTTACTAATAACATATAATCTAAATCAATATTTAAATCAATACTTTATTGAATGAATTCTAGATCTCTAGAAAATTAGCTCATACCCTATGAAACAATACATTTATTTTTGTAAAATTTTACTAATATTTTTTATCACTTAATTCTTCAGTTTGTCTGTGTAGAGAAATGTTGAAGTCGAATTCACTTGCTTTACGTACTACACTGACAAAGTATCGTACCAAGATATTAAAAACCTGCTATATATCATCATGCTCTCACTAAGGACTGATCACCAGCAAGAGAAGTGGTAGTGCTTCATCCTTTTATAAAATTATATTCTCTTTGCTAATGCAAAGTCTTACAATAGCCAAGATTATCAAGAATATAAATTTTTATCACTTCATGTCATCTTTGTATGTCAGATATTTTTTTGAGAAAATGTAAAAGTCATATTTATTCTTTTTTTAGAAAAGTATGCTGGACCATTGGCAATTTATTAATAAGGTACAGAATGTTACTTTGTAAGAACCATCTAGGGTTAACTGACTTTTGTTTATATTGCATTTGAATTTAGAACTCATGCTGAGTTTTTGGTTTGAACTAACTCAAGTTTGTTTTCTTTAACTGTCTTAAGGGTCAGGTAAAGTTACCAAGTCATAGTTTACAGTAAACTAAGCAATTATAATGGAGAAAGGGGAGAGTAGTAACATTTATTTAGGAAATAAATTGAAAGCTGACAAAGCTAGGAATAACTGATTTTTAAGTCATAAATTTTTTTTGTTCCCATATATTTTTTATATATAACAAGTGTCATATATGTAGAGTCTTCAAAAATTTTATGGAAAACCAAACCTTGAAGATAAAAATGAACATTATAAATTTCATTTCTCAACATAAGCTCCATCAAGGTCAAGACACTTTTTTTAAGCGATTGTTGTTGTTAAGTCACATCCAACTCATAGTGACCGTATGTAGGATTTCCAAGGAGCGATTATTGGATTCAAACTTTGGACCTTGCAGTTCAAACAGACCTTGGGGTCCAGTTCTTATCCTACAGCTCCACACCATGACTCTTTTTTTAAAGTGATAACAGCCTTTTCATTCATCCCTAAAGAGCTGAGGGTCCTGGGAATTTAACCGTGTCAGTGCAATCTTTTGACATTGTTAACTGAGGAAAAATGGATGCCCTTTAAAGATATTTTTATGGATAAGAAACAAAAAGTCAGAAGGAGCCAAATCAGGACTGTAAGGTAAGTAAGTGCCTAATGATTTTCTGTCGAAACTCTCACAAAATTGGCCGTGTATCATGAGAGGAACGAGCAGGAGCGTTGCTGTGGCAGAGAACATCTCTCTGGCAAAGATTTCACAAGCATTCTTCTGCTAAAGGTTTTTTTGTTTTGATTTGTTTTGTTTTTGCCACCATGTTTTCTAAATCATGTTTGGAGAGAATAGTAGAAAGACAATATTTTTATCTCATGTCATTGTGCCCTTTGATCAACATTTTAGCAAGAAACAACAGCATTATACTATTTGTTGGGTTCTTGAGTAAAATTACATCATAAAGATGTACATAGGGGGCATATGACTTTTTCTTGCTTGATTATTCTAGTGAGGACATTAGGTTTTTAAGATGTTTTTGTCCTTTCAAATTTATATTGATCCAAATATTGTAATTCTGCTTCTGTTTTCTAGCTTGAAGTACAATCTTGTTGTGTGTTCATTCCAAATGATAGCCTACCATCCCCAAGTACAATTGTATCTGGTGACATTCCTGGCACAGTAAGAAGTTGGTACCATGGTCAAATCAGCATGCCGGGAACGCTGGTCCTTTGTTTGCCTCAAATAAAGGTTGTTAGTGCTGGTCATAAGTGTATGGAACCTTTGCAGGAGATTCCATTTGTCATCCCACGACCCATCCTCGAAGAAGGTACATTAAAAAAAAATTATTCTTAAGGGTTTTATATATTTTTTTGGTTCATTTAAAAAATATTCCAATGTATATATCCATCAGTCTTCTCTCATTGAAATAGTTTTATGCCTAAGTAAATGTACTAAATATTGCCGTGTATTTTGATTATATATATGTAAATATATAAAAATGCGTATTGCCTACAAAATAACATATGAAGGGCAGTATAGTCATGAAAATGCTAAATTTAAAAGGTCAGTTTAGGAAGAAAGTTGATCTGGGTGTTTGCAGTAGACTGAAGTAAGAGTAATACATATGTTGATCTTAAGACACTTTACTCTTCTAAATGTGTTCTTTACATCAAGCATAATATATTTTTGTTTTGTTTTAAAATATATAATTATATGATATTTGTAGACACGACTCTTACTTCAATATATATTTGATCTCCTATATTGTAGTATTTTCAGGTGCAAATTTATACCTTTTGAACTCTGACATACTCATCCTAAACAGTACAGGATGTGAACCTGGAAAAGTTTTGAGTCCCAAAGTAAATAATGTGGATCTGTATTTTAATAACAAGGCTCCATTTTTTGACAGTGCTGAACAGGTCAACACCTTGTTCATATTATTAAGATGTAAGTGTATGAATCTGTTACCATTCAGGTTACTACACATACAATCTGTGCAAGCTCTAACTTTGATGTGGCTATCACTCCTTTCTTTGTGCTAAAATTCCCACCTTAGCTTGATTTGTCAGAATTAAGCATGATTTTACTTGCAGAAATTAATGTTAGTACTTAGTAAAATGAATACCATTTTCATAAAATCATAGAGTACTCAGTATTAGAAAGACTGTTTTTAGAATTCTTCTTGCAGGATCTTTGTCTTGATGTGAGGATCCAATCTAGCATATTGGGCGCTTAGCACTCAGTTATTTACTTTTGGTTACAAGAATTTCTTTATTATTAATAGTCATTGTATAATATATCAAGGATATGCTAGCTTCAATACGAGTTGAGTTGGAAAGTACTCCTTTTATTAATTTTTGAAAGATTAAAAAATTTAGTCCTTGATTTTGTTTGCCAAAACTCATTAAAAGTTCCTTTAACATATTTTTGAGATATAATTCACTTATCAGAAAATTCTTCCATTAAAGTATACAATTCAGTGATTTGTGCAATTCAGGGTTGTTACCCGTTACTGCTCTCTAACTTTAGAACATTTTAATTACCTCAAAAAGAAACTTTCTCTGTTGAATGATGATGCACGGAGGGGCTTGTAATTATTGCAATGAAACAAAATACCATAGGATGAATGTAAGGCTGATGTTCTCCCTTGTAAACTATCACTCAATTCAAAATAAAAAGTTATAAAGAAAAAAAAAAAAAGAAACTTGCTGTCTTTTCCCATTTCCCCTATTTCCTTAGCCTTTGGCAACCACTAATCAACTTTCTTCTTCTATGAATTTGTGTATTCTAGGTAGTTATATGAACAAATCACACAAATATGTAGTATTTTGTGACTGGCTTCTTTCACTTAGCATTATGTTTTCACGAATGAATCATATTGGAGCATAGTATGTCATTCTTTCTTATGGCTGATTGTTAATACCTTGGGAGCATGGTGGCTCCTAACGATGAGCATTGGACTGTGAACAACAAGGTTGGTGATTCAAGTCCACCAACCACTCTGTAGGAGAAAGATAGGCTTTCTGTTCCTGCGAAAATTTAAAATATTGTGTACCCAAACCCTATACAGGTTCACTGTAAGCTGCAACTGACTCAATGGCATTTAACAACAACCTCAACAAAATATCCTGGAATACTGGTGTGGTGCTGTAGGATAAGTAACTAGATTGCTAAGTTCCAGTTTGGTGATTCAAGCCACCAACCACTCCTTAGAAACCTTATACAGGGTGGATTTGAGTTGGAATGAATGCCACAGCACTTAACAACAATAATATCCTATTGTATGGATAAACCTTTTGTTTATTCTTTTATTACTGATGGTTATTTAGCTAAGACTATTGGAGTGGACATTCTTGTAGTTGTTTTGCATAAACATGTGTTTTTATTTCTTTTGTGTACATGTATGTGTATATTTATTATATCTCTTATTTGTATGTATGTATGTATGTATTTGTCATGCACAAAACACACACACTATTCTTTAGCAAAACTAGCGTACACATTATTTGAATTTTTGCTCAGTGCACAGCCCCCTTGCACCTTAATTTCCTTTCTCATTGTGTGTGTCCATTATTTACATGAGCATGTTACAAGGGAAAATACGATATATACTTATGAGTGGAATTGTTGGGTCATATGATAAATCTATATTTAAGTTTTTGAGGCACTGCCAGGCTGTTTTCCAAAATGTTGTACTATTTTATATCCACACATCATTATATCAGGATTCCAGTTTCTATCCATCTCTAGTACTGCATGTTACTACTGTCTTTTCTTTGATCATAGCCACCCTTTTGAGTGTGAAATGGTATCTAATTGAGGTTTTCTGTAATAGCTATGATATTGAGCTTGTTTTCATGTGCTTTTTGTTCATTTGCATAACTTCTTTTTGTGCCTTCTATTTAGCACCTTGCCTACATTTGATTTGGGTGAGTTAATTGCCCTTTATTGTGTTGTAAGAGTGCTTTAGGTACTGTGAATATTCAATATTTATGAGATGTGTGATTTGTAAATTGTCGCGGTCCTATGTCTGGTTCCAGCCTCGACAAGGAAGTGTGGGTGCCACAAAGAAGGGAGATCTGGTGGCAAAAGGGATAGAGAAAGAGAGAGATGAAATAGATACAAAAACCACAGACACACAGGTATGATGCAGGCTGGCAGGTAGGCAGATCTGCAAACATATTGCCTAGCATTGCACAGCATTGCACACAGATCTAACTTGACCTCAGTCTTTTATTCTCTTTTTTAGGGAGGGATTTGTTACAAAGGAAGGATGTAGTTCACAAAGGGAGGATGTAATTCAAAAAGGGAGGATGTGATT